AATCGTTCGTTCCTTTTGTTTGCTCTCAAACTTATATGAAACAGTCCCTGCACATTCGAGGTTTCAACATTGACTGAAATTGTACTCGTGCTTTCTCCATTTGCCGAATTACCCGATGAATTTTGCGCGCTATTCGCCGATAAATTAATTTCACAAGAAAAGGAGAAAACAGAATTCCTTAGTGGCTAATATAACGAGCTCCTAAAATAGGTCCTTCCCCTCGTCGACGAGCACAATCATCCAAAGAGATAGCAGACAAAAGACAAACGTAAAGTACTAAACACAATGGGGGGCAAAGTGTTATTACCAGAATGTATGCGTCTGTAACGGATGCAATTTATCACTTTACGACGTGAACTTGAACGAAGATGCTTTCGATGCGATGACGTAAGTATTTAGACGTGTGAATATTTAAAATTATATAGATATATATATCTCGGCGCATCGTCGGTCAACGGATTGCACAACGATTGTTTAATGAAACAAGAGATAATCTATTTATGAACAACGGGTCGCCATTGTCCGTCGAATCGACGAAGAAAAATGGTGAACGGATAATATGTATGTATTGTATTATAATACAAAAGTGCGGATACGTAAATCGAAAAATCGGCTTAGTAACACGTTCCTCCGGCGAATTCCCCGGCGAAAGAATCTTGCTTAACACAGCAAAACTACACGACAAACACAGCGGTATAATGCGGCTTCAAACGATCACTTACAACTAATATTTACAAAAGGATTTTCGTACACTTGACGAACGTTCCACGCGTTCTTTGTGAAAGATTTGCCCTGTTGTCCAAATACGACGAAACTATCCTATGTAGCTTTCATTGCACAGATATGACTTACTATTCCCCGGAAATAAATATTGTTCGAACGTATTAACGCCACATCAGGACGTCGTAATCAGCGACCATTCATAGAGAACCCAACACACGTGAAAATATACATATACGTGACGATGAAAAAGGGGTCTTATCTCTTCGAATCCTCACGTTTTCCAGTGATAAAGCTTAGACGATTGCCTTACAGTTGCCTTGAGATACGAATAATCAATCAGACACCACGATTCACACAATGAGAGTGCGAAGCGTGCAAGATTGTTTCATTCGTAACAGTCTCGTAATCGGTCGAAGATTTTTAACAGCTTACTAAGAGTCAGGAAAACATATGAGGAAATAACTCCGAGAGTTAAACCAATTGTTTCGAAAAGTTACAACGGATCTTACGCGACTTCGAACATATAAAGCAACGCAGCGCGCGCTAAATTAATAATTTCGCGTTCAGTTATAATGATATGCATGTACGCGTGATAATGTGGAACTTTTACGAACAAAGTTTCCAATACGGACCATTCACGGTGATTTACTTGAAATCAGAAATACCACCGAACGAAATGAATTTATATTCGTTCAAAAAATTTTATCAAATCGCATTTCCCTTCTTCCCGAATACGTCGAACGGGAAACGTGTTCGCGAAATGTAGAAGAAAATACACACATTTGTCCAAAAAGTCCTCCTCTATTTCCAGAGTCAGTCTACCGATTTTTCAAACTGGAAACTCGAAAGAAGACAAGAGCAAAAGACAAGTTAATTATAGTACAGTAGTAGCCGTGTCGCCGCAATCAACGTTTCGGTGTGTGTGTACGTGTATATACTTTTATATGCGTATATAGAACACCAGCCGAAATTGGACGATTTGAAAGCATAATCCCGTCTTTGCATCGTGCAGTTCTTTTACCAAAAAAAACTTCGAGCTAGTTTGTTCGAGCCGAGCTGTATCCTTGTTTTTATTTGTCCAACGCTGCAGTATACGCGAGTGAACACTTGTGTGTACACAAAGTAGGGAGGGAACATACATTCTGAAAGCCGCCAACACGCGGCGAAAAGAACGTATTGTTTCTTTATGCTTGCGCATTGCTCGTTAAGAGTGACAAAATCTCACGGTTCCTTTTTCCAAATTGCAAGCTTTAAGAATTAATCCTTCGTGAAGGTCAATCTGGCAGATGTAGGATTCATTCTTACTATCAATAATGAATACGTTTAATAAGAAGAATATATTTGCAAATATAACGTGTATGTTCCATATTTGGGGAAAACGAATGAAAGCAAGATTTTGCTACTGGATCCAACATCCACCGTTCGAGGATTAATCGATAAACACAATCTAAAAAGGAGCCATACGGTCCGTGAATTACATTCTTGTCGATAAAGAATTTTGAAGACTGAGATATATATACGTGTATATACTTTTTTTTTTTTTCTTCGTTGCATCATTCTTATCGAGAGTATGCGATATGCATATACGAGCTGAAGCACGCGGAAAAATAAGCTGTATAGTATTATAAGTCAACTTGTATTACCGATTACGTTCTCCCTTCCCTTCTCAGCGCCTGTCTCTGGATGCAACTTCGATCGTTAAGTTTCGTCTCATTTGGAAAGAGGACGAAGCTGGACGAAACTGGTAACCGCAGCAGTTACCCGAGATGTGTTACCGCAACGTGGACCATAGATTTATCTGTGTGTTTCGCGTTCTCTTCCTTTCTTCTCCTTTCTCTCCTTCTTTCACTCTCACTCTCTCTCACACTCAATCATTCACTCACTCACTCACTTCCTTACTTTCACAACGGTTAACCGGTTAACTAAAGCCTTGACCAAGTCACCGAAATCCGATTGATACGACGCCTTCCCGTAATTCTAATGACTTCACGCGAATAATCAACCGCGTATAACCAAGTATATTCACGTATCGCGTAATAATCGGACAGCCATGTCGCAGCGAAAGTCATCCGCTGAAAGTTTCGTAATTTCGTATACATGAGTACACGTTTATGTACTGTACATACGCACACGGTGTGTGGCTTGGACGAAGCTACTCGTGTGTGTGTGTGTGTGTGTGTGTATGTGTGTGTCGGACCTTTTCGTACGTGTTTTCACACATCGTAAAATCGATTTTCATTGTACGATCGACACGTGTCCACAATCGTCGACACAGCGCTCAGAGCTCCTTGGTGTTAGTGTTTCTTTAATTCTCGCGTTCCTTATATTAACCGATCGTTTGAATTCATTTCACACCGAGATACGATATACGCCGTATAAGGTATTTCGTACACAGTATGTTTCCATTCCTCGAGGGGAAATTTTTTAGTCGAAAGAAAAAAAAAAAAAAGAAAAAGAAAAAGTCAACAAATACGTCTTTCAGCGATGGATGCTCTCGCTGTCGTTGCTAACTGCTGCTGTTGCTGTTCTACATTTCGTTATCGTGTCCTTTTGTTCTCTTTCGTTTATGAACGTTTATACGTTTTTGTCTCTGGTTTCATCGTTTGTTTCTCTGAACAGTCTTCGTGCGATTTCGTTTTAACACGCTTCAATATTCTCTCTCTCTCTCTCTCTCTCTTGCTTAATGAAAATTTTCACTTCGCGTGTGTACGCGAACACGCGCGATTTTTCCCTTGGCTATTTCGCGCGTTGTGCATATCGTTTCATTTCTCCGTCTTGCACAAATACAGGATTGTCCACACGTTTACATTCCGTACTAAAAGTGCAGCTCTATATAAAAGATAACGTTGCTTTTTTTCTTGCGCGCAGCAACTTAAGGCGATATAATTATATATGAATACTCTTATAATGTATCTATGTACGAACTCCGGTGGTCCTCTATTAAAAACGTTCCAAAAATGAATCCTTATTTTTTTTTGCTCGTACTCCGTCGATCGTATATTTTCACAAGTACTCTCACTTTCTCTCACTCCCTTTCTTTCTCCCTTTTGTCTCTTATTTCCTCCATTTCCTGTATCATTTATGCAAGGTACAATATAATTCAACAACGTGCATCTGCAGCCAGTATATAACGAGTATTTTTTCATTTTTTTTCTTTTTTTTTTTTTCTCTTAATAAGATTCATAATATATTATAATAAAGGACTACGTTTCTCTTTCTCTCCCTTGCTCTCCCGCTCTCTCGCTCATCCCTTTCTCTCTCCCTCCCACTCTCTCTTTCTCTCTCTTTCTCTCACTCACTCTCTCACTATCTCTTTGTTTTTCTCGGATGTTGTCCACAGCGAACGATCGATGAAAAACGAGTCGTATATAAATATTACTCCAGCAAAATAATCGCGTGACGACTAGCTATTACAAATACGGTTCGTATCGTGGCAAAAACTTCTTTCTTCTTCTCCCAACGAGAATGAGAAGAGAAAAATATACTCGTAGACAAATAGACAACAATGCACGACATGACAATTAATTGTTTGGTGTATATTATATCCTTCTCTCCCGGCAAGTCTTTCTGTTTATAAACTTCGTATGTGCTAAAAGAGACAGGACGATGGAGTTAGTGGGGCGTGGTGTAAAAGGGGCTCGGGGGTTGGGGGGGAGAGACATTCACGAAGATTATAGCGACACTATTATGTACAAAATAATTCCGGCGAAGTGACGTTTTCCGATATTAATGGTATACTTATCGAGAGCAATCTTTACACACGCCTCCAGTAAACCGGATAATAAAGCCATCTTAGGGAACACACACATATACGTATATATATATCGTTATTCTCATACGTCAATATGTCAGTTACTTGGTTGGAAAAAAAAAAGATCTTTCTCATGTAAAAAGTTGTGGTGGTAGTTAGTGATAGTGACTATGTGTGTGAGCATACGCATACGTGTATGTGTATGTGTGTTTATATATGTATATGTATGTGTGTATATATATACATACATACATATATATATACATATACACATATACATATATAATATTCGTGTATGCAATATATTGTAATTTTCTTCAATATATTATATCTGTTTATTTATCTTTCTCTCTCGCTCTCCCTTTACTTTCTCTCAATCTCCATACGCCGTTTACCGTGTCTCCTTCGTATAAATACTCTTTCCATTTTCGCTCTCCTCAGAAGTCCAATCACAAAATAAAGCGCAAAATCTGTCATCTGCTTCTTATATGCTTATCTTCCGTACTTTCCTTTCTCTTTTCCTAGGCGGCTCTTCTAAACCGCCTTTTCCTTTCTCTCTATACACTATTGCATCGGACGTGCCCGTAAACGCACACAATCATACATATGTTCATACACACACGTGTATATACGTGTATACATGTAATACATTCTCTCGTTTACACTCTCTTACACTCTTTCACTCTCTCTTTCTCTCTCTCTCTCTCCTTTTTCTTCTAATATCTTCATTCTCGCTCTCTTTCTCTCTCTCTCTCTCTCTCTCTCTCTCTCTCTCTCTCTCTCTCTCTCTCTCTCTCTCTCTCTCTCTCTCACACACACACAC